CCTAGGACTACAACGAAACTCCCCAACCATAAAAAGAAAGTTGAAACGTCCATCATGTCCCTATTGGACAAAGCATGCCAGAGAAGTCAATGAGGGAGAGGACATGAACTAAGATAACACAACTGCTATCAAATGGTCCTCATTGAAGATAATTGGAATGGACAAGGTCCTCATTGAAGATAATTGGAATGGACAAGGAAATAAAGAGCAGAGGGGTCTATCCCCCCAACCACTTATCCTCCCACAAATAGGTGTTCTTTTTATTCCCAACTAAACAACCGACATGAAAGAAAAAAGGAAACTCCTCAGCAACACCTTTCCAAGGGTTTCTAAAAGTGCCTTTAAATCCATTAATTGGAGTTGCATTAAATGCATACAAGCCTCAATCAAGACAAACTAAAGTCAAACTCAAGTTACATGAAATGAAGTCAAGTAAGATTAAAGTGGAAGTGAAAGTTGCATCGAAAAAACTCAAGTTGGCATTAAGTGAACTCAAGTGCATCTCAAATATCTTTTAGTGCAAATCAAGCATCAATTAATGAGACTACCCTTCAAGCTTCATTATACACGGAAGGTTGCAAAAGGCTTTCCAAGCTTGAATCTCGAATTTATAACCTTATATTGTAATTTTATTTTTAAACCTTTCATTTATGCTTTTTAGGTTGTTTCGAAGTTTATAGGTTGTTATGGAATTTGTGTACTTGGAAATTACAACTCTAAATTGACATTAGATTACTTCTAGGGTGGAGTGTATATCTAGACTAGTTAATACCTTTGTGATTTAAGATTTTGAAAACGTAATGCATTGGCCTTCTAAGCCTTCTTAATTCTATGTAGTTTAGGTTTCATATTTACAATCATTGACGTGTGACTTGATCAATCTTGCTCGTGGAGTGATTCAGACATCAAACAAGGAACAATCTTCCCTGCCTCGAGATATTTGATCATCAAGGTGATTTTGACTTTCATTGGGTTAGTTTTCAAATTAGTTTTGGAGTTTTTTGAGATTAAGTTCTTTGATTAGTATTTATTAAAAAGGCTTTTAGATCCAATCCTCAAGGGTTTCATAACATTTTGGAGCGAAGTTACTTTGATTTCATACATTTTCCATATGTACAAACCATCAATTAAAAAGAATGAAATGAATTATGTATGTCTGCAGAATGGAACGAAAATATAGGACCACACAATGTACCTGAATCAGAGGCAAAACCTCTCTTGGAGTTTGTCGGGGAACTGCTGTGGGGAAAATGGAAACAGTAGTTACTTCTGACTGTGATCAAAATTTTAGCCCTAGCATCCTAATTCACAAACGAATATGCATGCTGATATATTTGCAAGTGTGTGTGTGCACGCTCTGTGATTAGATACTAACCTAGAAAACGGATTCCCAATACTTGTCATCGTCATCATTGAAAGTCCTCTCTTACATTGGAGAAAGTGTGGTCTCTACAAAAGGAAGACCACAATTCAACACAAACAAGTGACATCAGATGTTGTCGTGAACATGGGAAACATTAACAAGTTAAAGCAGAAATGGGAAGAAATTAAGACAAAAACATTTCAATCAGCCAAAAATTATTGATTAATGATTTCATGAACAGGCAAAGTGGTGGTTACAACTCACGTTGTTAAAATTGACAAGGTTCTGTAAATCCCCTTCTTGAGAAGACTGGTAACCACAACCCTTGATCTTCCAGATTTCTGTCAAATAGCCACCGGTAACTTCAATAGTCAGCTGCCGGATGCACTCAAGTCGAAAGTTAAAACAGTAAAAATTAATCGATTAAATAATCTGTCCCGCTAAACTGACCAAAAAAGAATTGTCGAGTCTGACTAATTACAGCAATTAAACCCCAAACGGTAACCAAAGAGTTCTAAACTTCAGATTTATAACCAATAACATTATGGAGTTCCAAATATGCCCTTGTGAAGGAGTTGGTACAAACCACTAACAAAATAACAAACATGTCTCACCATGATCCACTGCTTACCATCTTCTTTAACAATGGAGGACTGCACATCCTCTGAAAACCAGCGAACTGCACTAGCTTGCCGAAGCAACTTTGGAACACTTCTTAACTGCAAGAATAATATGAATGGGTTAGATGTTTGGTTTAACACCAGGGAAAATTGCCTAACTCCTTGTCAGAAGAAACAGCTTCATGAAACTAAATGTGAATCATTGGAAAAAAGAAGCATGAAGAGTCAAATACAAATACTGGCATGGGAGATGTATAAAATATTTCCTAATAGTCATATTCACAAGTATAATTTGAACATTGAAGTGAAACAAATGATGCATTTAGTTTATGAGCATCCAATGGCCTGTCAGTATGCAATGACCAACCAACAGCCAACCTCTTTCATGGCTTTGTATGATGAACATGATATAATTTGTTGACATAATTTGGCAAGAGAGAGACCAATTGTGAGGCTGAGATACCAAATCAGTATATCCAAGTTGAAAACCACTACTATAAATCGGCCCATACATAAAAAATTACCCGCAAGTCAATGAGCTCATATAAGCAACTGTTCAAATCCATAATATCAGACAAAGGAAATCCCTCGAGCTAAGACTGAAAACGAAACACACAACAGCCCCGCTATCTTGTGTGCGGAACAAGCCCAAGGGGGGATCACTAAAAGGTTCGATTGCACAACGAACTGCTCAACAGAATATTAAAACGTCCATAAACAGATATTAGCTTAATTATGGCTTGGAACTGCATAAGATTTTGATCTCTTCCCATTCGCCAGAGCAGCTAGACTTTATTAACAACCATAAAACAAAATATGTGTGCTCCAATTTGTTCAACATGCATATGACTCAAATCACAAAGTTTACATCCAGAACGATTCAGAAATTAAATCAATACTCAAATTATAAACAGATGAATCCATAGGTCACATGTAAGGAAGTGATGTGGTGTTCGAATTATCACCTTTTTAGAATGGATGATGATTTGCGATGAGTAAGCCATATTATCTAGTGCAAACTACCTAGAACTGGATCGTCCAAGAACAAATGGAGATCGATCTGCAGCTGAGATGATGAACAGAACGATATAAAGAAAACTGAAATTGAAAGACTAGGGAACTTATTAGGGTTCAGTGGCAGATCTCTGACTCCGATTCCATTCAGCTTAATTCACGTTGAGGCATTTGTTTTTCTGCGACTTTTTTTTAAAAAAAAAATTATAAATTTTCCTCAGCACGCTAAGTGGCAGCTAAAACGTCTGCACGGTTCGATTCTCTCTGGTTTTGGCCGAAAACCAGAAACCGAATCGAACCCGTTCATTCTCTCAAAACTCCAACCCGAGAAAACCGATGATTCTCCGCCTCGGTTCAACCGATTTTGGATTTATATTTCACTTCATAATTTTACCCACCGACGAGGGTGGGGCCGCTGCCACCTGCCGGCCGGAGAGTAAGAGCAAGGAGGGTCTAGCGACATACAGCGTAGGGTAACTCTGTCTCCGGTAGGTTGTGGGCGGCAGCCGGAGGAGGATAATGCCACCGTCGCCGGCGGAAGGTCGATCGACCGCAGACTGGAACTGAGAGTAGGGTGAGAAGTAAAAAATGGAGGGAATTAGAGGTGGGGCAGACCAGGACCGAACCGATTTCTATTTCAACCGGTCGGTTCGGTTCGGGTTATTCAAAGCTCAAAGATATTTGGAGGCGACTCTCGGGCTGGGCTTCGACTGTTATGGGAAATTGGAGAATTACTTAATTTACGTAAAATATTAAAAACAGTTCATAGAAGAATTCTAATCCCTTGTCGACTTTAATTTAATAAGCTATTTGCCACTAAAATTAATGCTTCCATATATATATTTGCCATCGATATTAAATATGTTTGAAATAATTTGTTGCTTTATTTATTACTTATAAAGGACCGGGAGAAATTTTTATAATATAATAATTTTTTAAAAATTAATTATTTTAATGGGAGGTTTAATTTTGTAATGTTTTTATCAAAATAAAAATGTCAACTACATGGTATTATTATTTTTTAAAAAATCATTATTATTTTGAAAAATAAAGTATAAGTTCATTATTTTATTTAATTATTTTTTTAGTATAACAATAATACAACTATTCATATTAATATCTTATTTATCCAACTTTATTTATTTATTTATTATTATTATTATTTTGTAATAAGCTTTATTTTTGTTGATATTCTAACTTTTATGTGGGGTCTCCAACACATTTTTCAATTGTAGTTTTGTTTGGATGAGAGTAAAGGACCGTATAAGTAAGAATAATATTAGCCAGATTAAGGGGTGCAACCTTCTTCATGATGTTTACATTGTGGGGCTTATCGGAGCCCTACTAGAAAATTTGAGAATAGTAGCCATGAGGTACGATCAGAATGTGAATAGGAAGCTGACGTTGCTGTTGCACCTCGAGGGCCTACTAGCCATAAGTCTACGATGACCATGACGATGATGAAATGGACTAATAGAAATATAAACAAGAAACGTTAGAACTTCGGGAACGACACCACAAGAATTGACGACCAAGATAGGGCGAAGAAAGAGAACTTATGACCTTCATCCACGAGTCTAAGTTGAGTTTAGGTGAACCAAGCAAACTTATAGTAAGCATGAATTAGATACCAAAACAAACGAACTAATAACATAAGACTTAAGAGGAATTAAGAACTACAAGACTAAAGGAAGTGATCGAGACGATAATATGCACGAGACGAGACGAGACGGTAGGAGTCGAGATAGATTCAAGTGTTTTGATTTTCGACTCTCCTTGATTTTCCTATATCTATTTTGAGTATGTATTTTTTTACGTCTTGGTCGTATTTAGTTCAAAATTGCACAAATTTGAATTGATTTTATAATTAATGCACGTACATTTTAGTTGTTTTTAATTATTGTGTATTTTTTTGAATATCTAATAAATAAATTTTGGAGTTCAAAATTTGGGGCGGCCCATTGCGATGAAATTCAAAGGTCACGACAAAAAGAAACAAACGAAAAATTGAAGAAAAACAAAAAGAGGCCGAAGAACGACAGCCTCCTGCTGTCTTCTACTTGTTCATCTTCTTCAAAGATTTAAGCCGCAACGAAGGCGAACTCCTCTACACGAAGTGACCTTCTGAGAAGCCAAAACGGCGAATCAGAATGGGAAACCAGAAGCTAAAGTGGACGTCGGAGGAGGAAGACGCACTTTTGGCAGGCGTGAATAAGCACGGTCCCGGAAAGTGGAAGAACATTCTTAAAGATCCTGAGTTTGCTCCGTCTCTCACTCATCGCTCTAACATTGACCTCAAGGTCCCCATTCAATTACCTATTCCTTTCAATTCCTTATATGCGTGTTTTTTCTTTTTCGCATTTGGTTGACCTGTTTGTATTGATATTTAGGGTTTTAATTATAAACTCAGAGGCCGAACTGAAATATTGCGGGATTTTTGTTTGAAGTTACGGATTGGTTTCTTTAGAATCCAATAGGCTTGGTTTGCTTACAATTTGTATAGCTCTACGCAGTTGGTTGAGTGTTTTAACATGGAAGAAATTGGTTTTGTTCTTCAATGATTTTCTATGTTAGTTTTTGGACTAAATTGTACTTTATAGTTTTCCCTAAGATTTTCGTTTGACCAACTGATTAATGTAAGAAGAAGAGTCCAGAAAGTGGAATTAGAGGGAGGAAAGAGTTTGATTTTGTATATAAATATTAAATATCATTAATATGATGGCGCGTTTTTAGGCTTTCTTCAATGGAAGCCACGAACTTGGATAAACTGTATAAGATCTTCTTCGAGTCTGTTCCTAGATGCATCTTTGAGATTGTTTATGTTTCAGCATTACTAGAACACAACGATGACATGGTTTAATTTGCCTCAAATTCAAGGTTTTAATATGTAAATCCCTTGATTAAAAATCTTATATTTTTCCTGTTAACTTTAAAATATTGTGTTTGCGAAACAGCATGACTGTTTAGCTACCAATGTCTGCAACTATTTATCTCCATCGTGTTGCTTATGTACCTAGGACAAATGGCGTAATTTGAGTGTCAGTACTGCTTCACAAGGCTCAAAAGAGAAGTCTAGGGCTCCTAAAGCAAAAGCTATCGTTGCTGCTATTTCTAACCACCAAAACTCTGCTCCTGCTAAGTTTAATGCATCTGCTGATACTGCAGGGGACGATACACCAAACAACAGCACACAAGATGGAAAAAATGTCCCAAGGTCTGTCACTCTAACCGTTTAGGTACTTTTACATTTGCATCATAGAGTCATCTGTTTAGTACTGTTATTATTACTTTCTTGGACTGTACAGGGGAGGGGGGAGAGTGTTTATAAATCCAACCTTTCATTATATAAGCTTCCCCCTCCCTCCACTCACCACCGCCTACCCCACCCCAAGTGACAAACGAAGGAGAGATGAAAGAGTAGTTTTTGAAGAGGTTGTTGGAAAATGGAATACCTGATGAAATATTTTTACATAGAAATGGAATAGCACCCTAAATCATATTATTCTTATAGGATTTATTCGTCAACAAAATATTATAGCAGTTCATCTTATTTGCTATATCATAAATCACGATTGGGTTTTTGGAATGTTGTTTTTCTTTAGCATGTACTATTATTGTGTGGCGTCTAGAGAATTCTCCCTGTTTAAAGAGTATAGGAAGACGTTTTGAATATGGTTTACATCATGATTATAGAATTGTTGAATTCTCTTTCCATTGTTTATAATGAACTACCAGCTGATATTCATCATAAATATGCTAATTCCCCCCCCCTCCCTCCCCTCCCCGTCTAACCCACCAGCATCACCAATGCAAATAATAAAATGAAATCCATGTTATGTGGAGATGTTCTAACTCTAAACAACGTGAGGAAAGGAAGTGATCAATACAAATATGCCATTTATGGTCCTAAGGATTATAGTGGAGTGTTACGACGTTTCTTACACATGAGAAAATTCACCTATTACCTCTGTAATTGAAAGAAACAAATTTCATTTGATCAACCTCAAGGGAAATTTTGATCACCAGAGAATATCACAGAAGGGGTGTTGTGATTTACCTTCTTTTCATTTTCATTTATTATTTCATTGAGGTCCTGTCATTGGTCTTATAACGATCTGTTGATCAGGTATTATACAATGATTTTTGAAGCCCTTTCAACCATAAAAGATTCAAATGGATGTGACATAGGTACAATTGTTAACTTTATTAAGGTAAGATGATGGTATCTTTTCTTTTCTTTCTTTTCTTTTCTTAACCTTATTCATTAGCACGAGCGCTCATATTACATGATACGTCAATAGTTGATTTCACATGGTGCAGCAAAGGCACGAGGTGCCACAAAACTTTAGAAGGCAATTGAGCTCAAAGTTGAGGAGGCTTGTTTCACAAGGAAAGCTCGAAAAGGTGAATGTTCTTTTCATTTTCTTATCGAATCAGTTCTGAAGGCAATTTGTTTGTATGCTGATATTTTATATGGTTTACTAAGTATTGAAGTTTGACTCTTAGACATGCTTCTCTTACAAGTTCATCTATATCCCCTTTCCCCCACCAAATGCAAACCCATGCATGCTTATGGGAAAAATTAAGATGTTTCATGGTACATTTTGAAGGGAGAAAAAAAAAAAAAACAGAAAAATTATACTTTTGATTATAAGTTTTCAAACTCGACATTTTAACTTCTAATATTTGAGTTCAGTAGCATTGGTCCTTGTCAGAATTCTTTTACCATAGTGAATGAAAGCTTATGTGACTTTTTTTTTAAAAATTAAATAGTATGCTTTTTTTCCCCTTCTTCTCTCCTCTTTCTCCCATCTTCCTTCTTCCTTCTTCCCATCCTTCTCCCTACCCAATCCATAGCCATTATCGCCCCCACCCATTGCCTCTTTCTTTTTTTTTTCTTTTTTTTTTTAAAATCCTCATCTTTTCTTATTTCTTCTTTCTTCTTTCTTTTCCCTTTCTCCTCCTTTCTTCCCTTCCCATTTTTAATGATTTAAAAAAATCTCATTTCAAATCTGGAATGGGAGAGTTTCGAGCACCTCCCTCATTTTATATCAAAAAGAGGATTTAGATTTTTTGTTTAAAAAATGAATGTGGGTTGTGGAGAAAGGAGGGGAAAGAGAAAGAAGGAAAAAAGGACAAAAAAGAAGGGGAAAAAAAAAGAAAAGAAAAAGAAAGTAAGAGGCGATGACAATGGCTATGGCTATTAATATTTTTATTAAAAAGTATTATTTCAAACTTGTGTACACCCTTTGACTAAGGTGTGCACAAGCTGGCTTGACACTTAAAAATATTTAAAAAAACAATATAGATACCTAGCCAATTTCAATTTTATATTTGTTTTTTCATCATAATATTTGTGAGTGTCAGCTTGCCTATACCTTGACTATTCTCACGAGACAATTGCTTGACTTTACAATCGTAACTCATAGGATATTATACCCAATTTAACAATACGTTAGCTGGTATTTATACTACTGAGAGATGAAGGAGTTTTATCCTGCCAAGGGATTGTCATTGTGAACAGTTTTGTTGGAGTTTAAAGATTTGTTTGAATCTTTTATGCATCTGGGTTCTTTTGTTTTCTTTCTGCCACACTACAGGTTCAGAATTGCTACCAGGTAAAGAAAGACAATTCATTGGCAGTTAATACTCCTACTCCCAAACAAAAAGATGTCAGGCAACGGATATCACAATATACCATGGGAGGGGGGATGCCATCAGGGGGGGATACGTTGGAAGACGCGGCGAAAGCGGCGGCCTACAAAGTTGCTGATGCAGAGAACAAATCTTTCTTAGCTGCAGAAGCTGTCAAGGAGGCAGAGAGAATTGCAAAGATGGCAGAAGATACAGATTCAATGCTACAGATTATAAAAGAGATATATGAAAAATGTAAGTGAACTGTTCATTCCTCATGAAAAGTTCTAAAGCTTTTGAGTTTCTAAAAAAAAAAAAACCCCTCTATTTTCTGTGTTATGTCACAGGTTCCCGTGGTGAAAGTATTCTCTTGGCTTAGGATCACTTGTAAGTGTAATGGCCAATCCTTTAATGTTCTTTGAATCCGCATGTAAATTCTTCAAATCCTGTGGAATTGTTCTTGTTATGGATGAATCAAATTAATTTATAGGTAGATATACAAATATTTGTCTAGTTGTTAAAATGAACTTGTCTTTCTTTTCCNTTAAGGGCATATCTGGTTCTTTTTTTTTTTTTTTTTTTTTTTTTTTTTTTTTTTTTTTTTACAAAAACAGGTTTAAAAATGGAACAAGAAATTGGAAACAACCATGATTTGCTGCATTTTGAGAAAATTAAGAAATTTGGTGACATTTTTGGCCAATTTCAAGAACTGTTCCTTCGATTTTGCATGATTTATCAGCTCTTTTTGCTGATGTGAAGCTGCTGGACCTTTAAACTTTGGTTAATTTTTTTAATCTCCAAGTCTGTGATATATGATGATTTGTTTTTTTTTTTTTTTTTTTTTCCTTTTTGCATATTAAAGACCAATTTTGTAGCTACAAAACTAAAGTAACATTAGTATGCATTTAACAAAACATGTATAATTTTTTCGATATTTTTAGAGTTTAGTTTGAAATACTTCAAATCTTAGTTCATTTCACGATATATTTTATAAAGTTAATAAAATTGGAAAGTATATTTTACAAAATAGTTTAATAAAAGGTTCGAACATGGTGAAATGAACCATGCTTTTATCGTACAAGTATTATTTAAAAATTTCATTAATTTTAATTATAACATATAAATTACATACAAAGCAAAATGTACATAGTTTTTGTAATTTTAGTTTAATTATATTAAAAATAAAATACATTCTATATGTTATTTCTTTTAGAAAGAATCAAGTTAAAAATAAAATTATATGTATTTATGTTATTTTAATATAAAAAAGTTAAAAATCAATATCGTTAAATGTTTCATTTACTATAATTAATTTAAATTAGATATAAAAGGAAATAATAGTTTTATTTAAATAAATATAATGTAATTAATAAAAAAAATATTTAAGAGAGAGAAGGAGAGATGATGACGCAAAAGTATAGTGTTCAAGATTACGGGAATATATTCCAGAATGAATTATAAGGCATGCACACGTTCAGTCACGCGCAAACCACGTGATTAATCATTAATTTACGTACTCCATTCCATTCCATTCCATTCCATCATTGTAGGGGCATTAAAGTAATAAAATGGTAAAAGCAAGGGTGAAAATGTAATTTCACACACATATTTGGAGCAGAATCCGAAAGGCCAGAGGGCCGCCTTAGAAAACCTAAACGCCCTCACATTATAACTTCAGTCCTTAAGCATCAGCTTCCGTTTCAACTCCACGGCGCAGATCCGAGGAGTTTTTGAATCTCTCGCTATCTTCAAACGCTTTCAATTCTTCTTCCAATCCTTCGTCGTCTCACTGATCTATAGGTTTCTCTCTACCCTTTTCATATAGCCCTTGTTGATAGTGATCGTTTGATCCATGGCGAAAGCTCTGTTTATACTTTTATTAATCTTACTGGTGTCCTCTTGGTTGAATTGAGTGAGTTTTTACATTGTTGTAATCTCTGAAATCCATTTGTGTGGGATCTGATATCCACTTTTACGTTATTTGTCGACCTTTTTTGTTATTGTTTTTTTTACTTGATCGTTGATCCTCCGTGTGTGTTTTTTGTTTGAGAATCTGCGGCTTCTGAGCTATTAATAGGTTTTAGATGATGATTATGGCGTTTTTTTTTTTTTTTTTTAAAAAGTGCGTTAAGATTATATAATCGTTTGGACAACTTGCGCTGGAGTGTAGAAACTTGACCAAATCTTTATTAGATAAGCATGAAGTTCTATTTCAAAATTGATTAAGGAGTAACCTATGCATTGTGAGGTCTCTTCATCCTCATCCTTACGATGTTGGATCCTCGACATTTCAGGTTGGTGCCTTTTTGAGTTCACTATTTTTTGGGTTGGATCCTCTTTGGACCAAATACCTGTTTGGGCTTCTCTGATCCGTATTAGATAAATTTGAGGTTCCATCTTAAATCAATCACAATTAGACGACCATGTATCTTATAAGGATATGTGAGGTCTCTCCAGCTTTTCCTCTAATGCCTCTCTCGGAGGTGGATGTCGGGTATGCGGCAGTATCAGAGGATATCTTTTTTTCTCTGTGGTACTTCTGTAATAATAATTTGTTGGATTGCTCGTATGTCACACCTCCGCAGCTCTGTAAATTGATTTGTTGTTAAATCTTGATGATGTGTCTTCGCGAAGTATCCAATGATTGTTTCCCCCTCAGTTCTCTTCTCATCTCTTTTTTCTTTATCCTCTGATTCTAGTCCAAGCGGAAATTTTCCTTACTTTCTTAATGGTCGACCAATAATTCATGAAGTTTAGGGAGCGGTGAAGTGGCTTCTGATGCCGGAAGGTTTTTCTGATGCATCAGTTAGCTATCTTCGTTTTGTATGAACGCCTCCCAAAAAGATGAAGAACAGAACTTTAATGCTTGCCACTCTTCTTTGTCTGGCGTGCAAGTTTGGCTTTTCTGTTACATTTCTCTTCCAACTTTTACCTCCCCTTTTGGGTCAAGAAATTTAAATTCTTTGTATTGTTTGGAACCATAAAGTTTTGAAATGAATGTGCCCAAAATTTTGTGTTTTGATCATTTGATGGTAGCTGAAAAGGGAAATAAAATAATAACTTGACTAAGGCGAAGTATCCAATGAGTTGTTTCCACCTCAGTTCTCTTCTCATCTCTTTTTTCTTTATCCTCTGATTCTAGTACAAGCGGAGATTTTCCTTACTTTCTTAATGGTCCACCAATAATTCATTAAGTTTAGGGAGCAGTGAAGTGGCTTCTGATGCCGGAATATTTTTCTGATACATCAGTTAGTTATCTTCGTTTTGTATAAACACCTCCCAAAAAGATGAAGACAGAATATTAATGCTTGCACTCTTCTTTGTCTGGTGTGCAAGTTTGGCTTTTCTGTTACATTTTCTCTTCCAGCTTTTTCCTTCCGTTTTGGGTCAAGAAATTTAAATTCTTTGTATTGTTTGGATCCTTTTTAAGTTTTGAAATGAATGTGCCTAAAATTTTGTGTTTTGATCATTTGATGGTAGCTAAAAAGGGAAATTAAATAAAAACTTCACGAAGCTAGGCTGTTAATATTGATTTATTAACAGATTATTAAAATATGAGTGTTATATAATCGTATAAACCATTATTTCTTCTCACATGGTAACAAATAGCGTGCTTTATTAGTAATCTGTGATGAATTTGAAAACCCTCAAGATCAGGAAGATCCGAACAGATCACTAGGGGTTGATATCATTGGAAATTCCATGGCATGAACCCTGTGTACACTTTTCAGCTAAACTTGTTTTTACTTTTATTTTTGAGATGTGATATGCTTAAATTCTGCACAGTCTTCTTTTACGTTGTTCACGTTTTCATTTGGTATCGTGAAATTAATGGTGGTGTGTGCTTCTTTCTTTTAGATGTCTTTAAAAAGTTTTATGACCACAAACTACCACATGTTTTGCATTATGTCTGCATACAGATATGGCTGGTTTGGCTCCCGAAGGATCTCAATTTGACGCCCGTCAGTATGACACCAAAATGAATGAGTTGTAAGTTTTCTGTTCGAACTTTCCCAAACGTCCTAGACATCCTAGACAATTTCTGTATGTGATATTATTAAGCTTCGTTGCATTTTATTATCTATATGATTTTTTTGGTACCTCCTAATTCTAGTTTCTCTATCATTTGTTCTTATCACTTGGTATGGTAGACTTTCATCGGATGGACAGGATTTCTTCACCTCATATGATGAAGTTTATGATAGTTTTGATTCTATGGGCTTGCAAGAAAACCTCCTCAGAGGCATTTATGCCTATGGTTGGTATCTAGTACTCTTTATTTTCTCCTTAAGTTGTTTGTTGTTTTCTTCATTATACTGTTTAATAATTAAATGAAATGTATAGTTTTTAAGTTTACACTTTTTGTTGCTTCCGCTGGTTTGTAACTATATTGTTTGTAATTTCAATCTCATTTTTTTAAGGTTTTGAGAAGCCATCTGCAATTCAGCAAAGGGGAATTGTTCCTTTTTGCAAAGGGCTTGATGTGATCCAACAAGCGCAGTCTGGAACAGGGAAGACTGCAACCTTTTGCTCTGGCATTTTGCAGCAACTTGATTATGGTCTTGTGCAATGCCAGGCTTTGGTCCTGGCACCCACTAGGGAGCTTGCTCAACAGATTGAGAAGGTTATGCGAGCCCTTGGTGATTATCTTGGTGTAAAGGTTCATGCTTGTGTTGGTGGGACAAGTGTACGTGAGGACCAACGCATTCTTCAAGCTGGTGTTCATGTTGTTGTTGGTACTCCTGGTCGTGTGTTTGATATGTTGCGTAGACAATCACTTCGTCCAGACTACATTAAGATGTTTGTGTTGGATGAAGCTGATGAAATGCTTTCTCGTGGATTTAAGGATCAGGTTTGTCATTTTACTTTCATGACTGTCATCCTGCATGCCTCAAAACTTTGTTTCTGTTTATTTACTCATTGTTTTTTATATTTCCTCTCTCCACTCTTTACAATGGGAACACATTGTTAACTGGACTGTGGTATAAGTTTAGTTTAGCTTTTTGCAAGTCTATTCAATACTTGTTTAGGGCTGTGATTTAAGTTCGATGGTATGTATAACAGGAGTTCAATCATTGGCTGGCTTTAAATTTTTATGGTACAGTCTTTTGTTTTCCATTTCTGAAATATTTGTTTTGTATTTTTCATAAAGATTCTATTTAGTGATTATGAATTTTCATCCTGACAGTGTGCTTGATCAGTTGTCAACAATGGACATGTTGGGTTCTGTTTGAGTTCTCCGTTGTGATAATTTCTCAAAGTTCTCTTAGTTGTGTCGTAATTTCTTGAAGATGTAAATAATGACGTAGGATACTATGTTCTTCAATTTCTGAGAATTATTGATGATGAAGTGGTGTAGCTGTTCACTTGTTTTGCTTTGATATGGTGTGCTATGTTTTATCGATTTTAAGTTGTTACTTCATCATTCTTTGATGTATAGAATCCTTATCCATAACTCACTGATTTACTTTTTTATCATTGCATTTGAACTTGTCACGATTACGAGCTGTGTGGTTTCAATCTTCTAACTTTCCTCGTATATGTATTTC